GTTGAGCTGTTGTTCAGCATCTTAGCTGTAGAGGGCAGTGTCACTGGCCCTCATATATGGGATCCGAACCGGGGTCCTCTGGCGTCCCAAGCCAGCTCTTAACCAATTGACCACTCTGCCGGCCCTGGTAATTCTATTCTTAACTCTTTGAGAAAACTCCATACTGTTTTCCTTAATGGCTGTACCAATTTACATTTCCACCAGCAGTGTATGAGGGTTCCTTTTTCTCCACAGCCTCTCCAACACTTATTTATCCTGTTGATGATAATCATTCTAAAAGATGTGAAGTGGTATCTCATTGTGGTTTTGATTTGCATTTTCCTGATAGCTAGTGAAGATGAGCATCTTTTCATATATCTGTTGGCTATTTGTATGTCTCTTGGGGAAATGTCTCTTCAGGTTCTCTGCCCCTTTTTCAACTGGATTGTTTATTTTTTTGTTGTTGAGTTGTATGAGTTCTTTATATGTTTTGGATATTGTCCCCTTATCTGAGTAGTTGTTGCAAATACCTTCTCGCATTCAGTTGGTTGCCTCTGTTTTCTTGAGGGTTTCTTTTGCTGTGGGGAAGCTTTTAATGTCCTCTTTCAAAGAAGACATTTTACTCAAAATTTTCTCACAAAAATAACATGTTCATAAGATGATATGTAATAGAAATGAGTCATATTTCTAACACTATTTAATAGAAATACATTGTTGCTATAGAATTCCAAAGCTTTATTTTGTTGGCATGAGTTATGAGAGAAAGAAAATATAAGCTAGATTAGCAGCATTTTTAAGTCTCTATTCAGTTTCTTAAATGTGAAGCCAAAAAGATTGGTTTTTGTTTTGTAACTAAGAATAGCATTTTCTACAATGGAAAATTTCCTAAAAGTCTGTGGTATTATTTTTTTAGTTTATTCATTTATACAATATGAAAAGTAGTTATTACAATAGATCTTTTATGAAAAGATTTAATCATCCAAATTAATTTTACTTTGAATGAAAATATTATGTTTAATAAAATGTTATTGGCTGCACTTTAGACTCCAAGATTAAAATTTGGATTTATCTATATCCATTGGTGTGGACCAAATGTCCTCTTGAAAATTGGAACTGAACAAAAGGAATCTTCTTCTCTGGGATAGGGGTGGTTGTGAAGTAATTCAGAGGTCTGGTCCATTAAGTTTATGACTTTCCTGCTAGATTTGTTAACAAGTGTGCCAGGGTGGAATGGGACTTTATTTCATATTTAATGAATTCAGTTAACTTTTACTGAGAAAATCTGATGAAGAAAGTACCTTTGAGGGAGGGATAGGAATGGAGAGACAGAGTGAAACCCTGGCTGACCACAAGTGCTTTATATCCAGAGGAGATCTGTTATCCTTACGCCTTGAAAAATCAGAAAAAAATTAAAGACAAACATAAAAACGTCCCTTCTTAAATCTTCTAACCGGGATAAATTAGTAGTACTGTTTTGTCTCTCTTTACAGGAGACTAGTGGATGACAGAGTCTGGGATGGCCATAGGGATGACCAATGACCCTGGGTAGTCCAAGTATATTTTAACACTTCCTCTAGGCAGAATTCTAGGGTAACACCTAAAATTCCCACTCCCTGGTAGCCATACTCTGCATAATCCCCTCTCCTTAAGTGTTGGTGGACCTGTGAAAATGATGAGATAGTCATTTCCATGATTATGTCACATCATGTAAGACTTCATTGTAGCAGAACAAGGTCAGGGGGTGGGATTCCTGCTGGAGGGATTCTTACTTTGAAGACATAAGCTGTCGTAATGTGAGAGGGCCAAGTGGTTAGAACATGAGTATACTGTTCTGTACTTTGATTATTTCATTTAAAAATATATTCTAGAGAGCATTCCACAGCAATATAAAAATTTTTTTTCATTCTTTTTTTTTTGCAGTTGCATGGATTACATTATATCGATTAATATAGTTTATTTAAGTCTTTTTGGCTCCAATCTTTTGTATTATAAACAATGCTGCAATGGATAACCTTGTACAAGTGCTCTTTTGTTTTGTACAGTTGTTTGTCTAGGATATTTACCCTAGATAATATGGTCAAATCAGAAAAAGTACTTTTAAATTTTAACAGACATTAAAAAAATCCTCAGGATTTCTACTGTTTTATGTCATCACCATTGACATACAAAAAAGTAATTGTTTTCCCAGAGACTTAAAAAAATAAAAGTATAATTAAACTTCTGAATTGTTACCAGTGTGGTAGGCAAGAAATTGCATTGCAGTGTAGATTTGAATTTGAAATGCTTTTATTAAAATTATTCTGTTATCTTTTCATTGTTAGAAGGTCCATTGATTGGTATTCCTTTTTTTTTTTTTTTGCCTCTCAGTACAAGTTGTTGGCCCATTTTTCTATTAGGTTAATATATTTTAGGAGCTCTTTGTATATAGGAAGATTAGCCTTTATTGGTGATATGTTGCAAATATATTGTGCTTTGGTTTTACATTTTTCTTTTGATTCTGTGACATTTAGGTCTTGCAGAATTGTTTTCCGTTTTCTTGTTGTTAAATTTATTAATCTTTTCTTTTGGGCTTCTGGATATTGAGTCACAATTAGAATGGCTCTCCGCACTCTGAGGTTATAATGAATTTTTCCCATATTTCATTTTAGAATTTCTATGCTCTTTTTTGTTTGTTTGTGTTTTTAACATTTAAATCTCTGATACATTTAGAATTTATCCTGATATCAATACATGTATGGATCCAAATTTCTTTGTCCAAGTTACTATCCAGTTCTGCCAACAGCCTTTATGGAAAGTCCATTTGTACCCCTCTGCTGATTTAAGGGCCACCTTTATCATATACTAATTTTCAAAAAGTTTGGTCTCTCCTTCTAGACTTCTTAGAGCTGTGTTACTTCATGCCCCCTTTCTCACGCGACTCTAAGTTGCGTGAGCATGAGCACCGTGTTGTTTTCCTGTGTCCTCAGAACTTAGTGCCGGGCACGTAGCAGGTGCTCAATACATATTTGCTGTGTTTGAGAATGTTTACGAAGTTCTAGGAGAATGTTTCCCTTGTTCCCACAAATAGGTAGAAAGATGATTTAATATTTTTAATTTAATAACAAATATTTTACAGAGCACAGAAATAAAGTGAGTGGTAGACAATATACAATATTATGTGCCTTGTTTGAGGTACATAACAGTTTTTCTCAAGCAAAATGTTAACTTATTTTAACCAAAAACATTTGATTCAGTCTATATGCTAACAGGAGTCCAAGAATATTGAAATGTTAACGTCTAGACAAAACACTCATAGTAAGCACAAATAAGATAAAAGTCAATTTTTATATATCGTAGACACTGGGGCTTTGCAGATGCAATGTTCAGTTCATTCTTTCATCCATTTCTAAGTAACCATGGAGATCCAAAATATCTAATAAGTTGCAGTTTTTCTGGGAAACATGATTTTGAAATGGAAGCAAATCACCTAGGTAAAATCTGAGCCTAGGCCATCAGGCCCCTGCATCTGCTTTTCAATGCAACTTTACTGTTCTTTTGTTGATGTTTGACTTCATTGGGTCCCCATAACAATAATACCAAGTAGGGCATTCTCTGCTTGTTGCACATGAGGAAATGCAGATAATTATGTACTATAAGTGTCAAACAATTTGGGGATTTGCAAAGATCTCAGGATATATTCTTTGCAAATATCAATCAGCTACTATATTCCAAAAGTGCAGCATTCCATTATAGAATTATTAATACATTCAAATAATTTTATTTCATCCTTCATTGGCAAAGGAGCAGCATGTAAAGCAAAATAACATGCAACCTCAATAGTATGCAAATGCATCTCAAAAGTCAGATGTGCATGAGATAGTAAATAGCTAACTAAATGTTAAATAGTAATAACATATTTTATTTAATAACAGTTTTAGTGGTATAAAAAATAAAAGCCCAAGATATCCCTCCTCTATTTAGCAACTGATGCTACATTTCCCCATTACTTATTATTGAGATAACTATTATAGGTATGTTTATACATATATATGTGGCATTGTTTTTACCTTTTTATAAAGGCATTACATTTAAAATTCTTAACTTTATGCAAAGCAAACTGTTTAAGAATGAAAGATTCTGTGATAGACACCTAATTATACTGTCCAAAAGAAAAGATCATAGGACTGGAATATAAAAAGACTTAAACTTAACTGTAAACATGAATTCACTATACTCGTTTTGTTACACTGAATTAATTTGTACAAATCATACAGCTTCTCTGGCTATCTGCTACACCTGTGAAATGAGAAATTTGCAATAATATCCCTAGGAGCCATTCAAGCTCTAAATAACCTAAAATCCTATAGTTCTATGATCTGTCTCTAAACATACCACTCTTTCTGACTCTCCAATTTTAACTGATTACATTTACCAGACTACACTGTAGAGATAAAAGAGTATCTTAATTTGGATAGCTATGGCAGACTTTGCAAATCAAAAAATAACTACTGAGTGAAGTTGCAAGAATTCTGCAAAATAAGTTTCTAATGAAAGAGCATACCCCAGGTCTGCAGCATGTTGCTATTATATACATAACAGCATTTCAACTGAACAACTTAAAATGACTTGATTCCTTAAAGTAAATCAATAAATCAAGTTTTTCCATGGAAATTGTGCATATTTTGTACCATGTGTTAAACTGCTATATCCCAATAGTCTAAAAAATATATATATATTATCATTAAACAGTTATAAATCTGCCCAGTGCCTAAATACTAGTGATAAAAGTTAACTCCATTTGACATGATGATGTGGCCTAGAGTTCGTGGAATCCCGAAGCTTAATTCCACTGGCATGTGCAGTCTATGGGTTCCTGGAGAGTGTACATGATTTCAGTGCCATTTCCTGAACAATACAGCGGCACAGTCAAGTTTCGAACTCCGTTTTCACGACAACACTTGCAGAATCTTAGATGGCTCTCAATATTGACGTTATATATGGTAGCGGATGGGCATTTTCCATCACAAGATGCAACATTTATCTGTAAGGAGAGACAAAGAGGGAAAAAAAAGTCTTAAAATGTTAAAAAGTGGTTACTTGATTCTACTAAGAAGTCAAATGAAAGCAGGTCTTCTTTTCCTTATCACTTTAACTCTCAAGCTTCTGTATGTTAAAGGATCCCAAAACATACTAGGTTGAAATTTAGTAACTCAGATAAGTCAAAGAAATGTTCCATGGGCACATGGACAGCAGTGCTGATGTAACTCAAAGTATGAAATGTGCTCACATAACAAGACAGTTATCTGCAATACATTAATCACAATCTAATGAGTCTATTGTGACCTGTATTATGTCATGACTCAAATATACTGTAGAAGTTGGGTAGGTCATATTAAAGGAGGTAAAGTTAGAACTAAGACTATTTTTGCTGAGTAAATTGCATACTTAAGAAAATATGTACTCAAATACAGTTAGGTTTAATTTCTATCACTCTGGATTGCCGTTATCATTCAGATTAATTCATTTTGATTATGCTAAGAATAATTCACACTTCTTCACAAACAGAATATTTTAATATTAGAATTGAAGAATAATCTCAAAGTTAATAAGTGTTGGCATGTTGTTGACTTACACACTTACTAGTGCTGTGACACATACACTTTTGGAAAGGCACATGCCCTTTATGTAACAAATGATATTTTTACACTTACAGAGCTTTGACTTGTACAGTCCTGTTTCCTTATGACTGATTTAATGATCACTTTCTGGCATATTCTTTCTTCTCGTTTACCTGATATAATATAGAATGTATTTATTCATTAAAAGGTTCATGTAAAATTGTTTCTTAATTCTATTAACATATCAAAATACAAAATATGCACTATCATAGTCCCAGTGCTAAAAGACTCTCTGGTACATGGGAGGCGCTCAATAAAAATCGGTTTGACAAGTCAAATTATTCAATGAAAGAAATTGGGGAAGCATATATGTATTATCAGTTGGCTGAATTTGTTTTTACCAAGAGGCATTTCTATTCATTCCTTAGAGACTTTATTGTACCATATTTTGTTTAGCATAGCACCTGTGACAGTATCCAACAACCATGGTCTCTCCAATATAGCCTGGTCAAAGCAAAGACTACAGATAAGGGTTCTTCAATACCAAAGCAGAAGTTACCTTACACATCAAATGGGAGAAACCGAGGTGGCTTGTTATTATTCTGCGGCTTCAAAGAACTTAACAGAATCAAAAGACCCTGGGCCCAGACACTGGACAGACCTAAATTCATTACTGATTAATATGATCAACTTCTCTGAACCTTCTTTTCCTTATCTAAAGGAAAAGCCATACCTACGTCCCCATTTAGCACCCAGAACTTGTTGTGAAGATTAGACATAGTACTGTTTGCAATGGGCTTAATAGAGTGTCAATGTGTGACAGGCAATAAATGGCAGTAATATGGTCAGTCACACAGATCTTCCCTGTCCGCCCTCAGATAACATAAATGTACTCACTTCTCTAGTAATTAACTGGGGGTTACAGAGTCCAAGGTCTTAACATTGCAATGTGATTCTATGGTTATATCTCATACCTACAGAAGAGTCTAGACTCTCAGGCAGCAGGGGGAAAAGAAGTGAGATCATAAAAATATAAACTTCTTCAGATCCTGCAGCCTAATTTCATTTCTTGGGTATCCAAATACTATTGGATACACATTTGTTTACTGTTGATTAAGAGAATACTGAATTAAAACTTGCTTGTTTCTAATAGCAGAAAAATCTTAATTAGTGTGTGTCTAAGTGCCCCAGTAAGTAAAATTGCATAAGTGGCATTATACTACCCACAAAAGTCCCAGCAATAAAAATTGTTATGGATTGAATTGTGTCTTCCAAATATTCCCGTGGACCTCAGAACATGACCTCATTTGGAGATAGGGTCTTTACAGAGGTAATCAAGTGAAAATGAGGTCATTAGGATGGACCCTAATCCAATAGGACTGATGTCCTTATAAAAAGGGGAAATTAGGAGACAGATACACATACTCCCAAGGAGAACACCAAGTGAACATGAAGACAGCCATTTACAAGCCAAGGAGAGAGGCCTGGAGCAGATCTTTCCCTCAAAGTCTTCAGAAGGAACCAATCCCATCGACATCTTTGTTTTAGGCTTCTAACCTCCAGAACTCTGAGACAATAAATTTCTAAGTCACCCCATTTGTGGTACTGTGTTACAGCAACCCTAGCAAACTAATATAATATCAAATTAGATATCAGGCCATCTTATGCTGAACTTGTTTGCTTGTTGTAGGTAGGTTTTTGTGTGTTGGATTTGGCTCCTCACGCATCATGTAAATAAAAACTCAGTCATTCTAGCCCTGCCACTGATCAACAGACACCATTAGTCAGCCTCTGCCTTCTCCTAAAACTTATTCTGGTGATGTTCCACAATATCACAAGTGGTGAAGAAGCAGGTTGTAGAATCAGCTCTGGGGTGAAATCACTGTAGCCCACAAGTTGAGTTGGACAAGTAATCTACCTCTTTAAGCAGAAAATCAGGATAAATTCATTGGAATCAGGCTAGAGTCATTGGGATTTTGTGAGGAGTAAATACTATGCAAAAAAACTTGAGAGTTCCTGATTTATAAGCTATTATTATGTTCAATAGTATATATAATAATTTTGTTGCATCACATTTTAATATTCTGTTCTATATGATTATACAGCTCTAAATAGACATGACTATTTCTTACCTATTTATCAAATTTAGCTCTTCCTGAATGAAGTTCAGAAATCTCACTTAAGAAGCATGACAATTTGTATCTAAGACTCCAACCCTATGCCATGGCATTATTAACCTGAACTGTGTTGTACCTTTTTTCCTGAAAGCTTTTCTACACAATTTTAAAATTATTGTGTATGCCAAGTTTCCTAAAACTCTTATTTTATCTTGACATAAATTATGAACACTTTAAAAAGAAAAAAGAAAAAGGGCTGCATGAATACTCACGTATTCTATTTCAGTCCTTAAAATCATTAAAAATCACTATGAAATAAATCTTGTAATTTAAATTAATATAAAATATATTGCACATACATAACTTTAATAATCAAAATAATCCTGGGAAGTTTTACATATAAGATTTAAATATAGTCACTAAATCGGCATTTCTCAAATGTATCATACAGAACCATAGACTTGTTCCAATAGGTTTGGAAAAGACTGCGCTCTGTATGTCCTTATTGGAGCTACAACACCATTCTCATCATAACCTACTTTGTATAGTTCAGAATGTTCCAAGTAAATTTGACCACAGAGCACTTTTAAACTTAAAACCTGTTAAAATCCTATGTGATACCTTTTGGGAAATGCAACAATAAATTTCTAATATTCACTCTAAAATTCATCTAAATTAAAAACATTTTAGTCATACTCCAGAAAATAAAGACTAAATTACAAAAGAATCAACCACATGACACAAAAACATTTTGATAATATGCATTATAAAATTTGTTTCCCTCCTTGTATCTTAGGAACTGAATTTTATGGAAAAAGTCATAATCACCACAAACAATTTACACTAATCTATCAAGTTAATAAATGTAATATGTCCTCACTTACAGATCTTGCAACAGCCTTCATTATAAAGCTTCACAACCCCTTCATTCTAGGAGGAGAGAAGGAATAAAGTCAAAACTCACAGTTTATTTCCTCTTAGACTAGAAATAGAATACTTTCTCAATATTTTTATTAACTATCACAATACTTTTACAGGAAAATGATTGGAATTTAAATATTTCTAATAAGAATTCCTTTGTTTTTAAAATTAGAAGCAATTTTGTTTAAATTTTTATTTCTCTACTAACATAAAAGACTGCAAAAAGATAACTTACTCAAAAGAACATGTTTTAAATACCACAAAAATGTCTTACCAAAGCAAAGTACTAACAGGTGCTCTAAATAGAGGCTATTAGTGCTCGCTTCGGCAGCACATATACTAAAATTGGAATGATACAGAGAAGATTAGCATGGCCCCTGCGCAAGGATGACACGCGAAGTCATGAAGTGTTCCATATTTTTTAAGAAAGAAAATAAATAAATAAGTAAATAAATAAATAAATAGAGGCCATTATATTATTCCAACCTCTCAAAATAAAATAAGTTAGTCTATGGGACTAGATAGAGTTCCTGACTATAGTGTATCTTTTTCTTTAATATTTTATTAAAAAAAAAAATTTCCAACTTCAGGATGGCTCCTGCCTAAGGCTAAATTTAAAACATTTTATTGAATATCTTTTGGAATTCTTACAGTAAGTTGTTAATTGCTTTTAGTAACCTGCTAATTGAAATTCAAATTAAAGAATAATTTACTCTATAAAAAAGAATTTGAAAAACAAGATGGTGCCTAAGAGTCTTTCCAGTGCTGAAAACCTATTACTTAATATATATTATATCTAGCTAAGCCATATAGCAAGCCAGCCATCATCACTAAATGGGGACATCTTGAAAAAAACAAAAATCAATAACACTGCACTATTTCTCTACATTTAAGAAAAATATAGCCTCACGCAACAGAACAAAGCTCACTTTAATTAGGAATTATTACCTACTAAATAATTAAAGCTATAAGGAATCTTTTAAAAAAAATCTCATCACTATCAAAAACCTATTCTCTTAATGGACTCTTCTTGAGAGAATAGGAATTGGGAGAACAAAACTAAAGGATCAGCAATCCTGTGGCATGTGCTAAGTTCCACAGTGGCCTGTGCTCAGAGAAGCTAAGATAAATTTCATTTAGGTCAGCATGCATTGAAAAATGAATGACATCATAAATCTGGCTGTGTTTAAGAAAGAGAAAATGGATCAAGCTCCGATTGCTTGGCTTATTGATCCATATTGAAAGAGAGCCTAGGTCTGCTGATCAAACAATTTTTCAATAATCCTTTGACCTACATACTAAAAACCCAGAAATAGTAAAATGTCTATTCAGGGAAGAGTCAAAATTATTTGGAACACTAGATATAACTCAAAATGGCAAACTGAGAAAATATAAGAGAGATTTTATGTATACATAAAAATAAAACATTCACCAAAATAAATAAGTCATGATATATGGATGGATAACCTTGAAAAACATATTATTTTCTAAATTATATTTAATACTAAATTTTCTTAGATAGAACAAAGTACAAACCAGTTTGCATTCAGTCTCATTAAAAGGGGGACAGACCATACTGAAGTTCAGAATCATTGTGCCTTCATCAGTCTTAACACATTCATAAGTGGTACAATTATAATTCCATGTACTCCCCTCCTAAAAATAAAAAACAATTTTACTGTCTTGCTATTAAAATTTGCTATATTTCTTAAATAGAATACTTCCTATCCAATTTATCAAAAGTCAAGTCAAGATGCAGAAAGTTTCTTTTGACACAAAACACCCATCTGGAAACATCCACAAATTTATCTAAAATGATTTCAAAAATTACATATATATATTGTGTGTGTGTGTGTATGTCTGTTTGGTTTCATACTAGAACTAAGATATAAATGTGAAATAAAGCAATACATAGGAAAGAAGCAAAAGATATCTGTTTCTACTACAAAATTATCTAATTTGGTCAAGTGTCAAAGGTCTTGCTATACTATTTCTCTCACTAATTATAAAACAACAAATCGTATTACATAATACACCTCCTTTCTTGAAATTTGTTTATTCTTCCTACTACTCCCTTATCACCAAAATATTTTAAAAATCTTTAGATGATAGTAATAATTGACTTACGGCTGTAGTTTCATGTATCTTATGGCTATTTTAAAAACTATTCCTATTCTTTTAACAAATTTTTAAACATAATACCTTTACTTCATTCCTGATTTCAAAATTCTTATTTAGAAATAAGGTCATATAAATATATTCTTTCATAAATATTGGGTTATAATGTTGATGATATATATTTTATTTTTTATAACCCACATTTTAAAATGTTAGTCAAATTCTGGCTTGAAGATTCCTTGTGGACCAGTAAAGAATTTTAACTAACTTCTTTTTATCTAAATTTTAGTTTAGTTTATGAATAGCTTCAAAAGTCTTCTTGAACCTTAAGGGGAAAACATTTACACGTCTTATAAAAGAAGACAAAATATTCAAATTCATGAAGTAGTAATGTCTAATTTATCTGAAATAAGAAATGTTTTTTCATAGAAATTAGATTTCTAGATAACTAAAGCTTATCCTTGAAAGAGACAAGAGTTAATGATCTTGATGTATATTTACCTAAACTGCATTTCTTTTGTTCTAAAAAAATATTCTGAACATAATTTAATATTTTATTTAAATTTCAGGGATATCACATGAATTTAATTATATACACAAATGGTTCCTGGATTATTGACCTCTATAGAGTTTATGTTGCATTTTTACTAAAATCCTCAAATTATTATATTTTTTCAAGTAGTCTTCGATTCCTTTTATCTCACTGACACCTATGTCTCTTCATCATTTTACAAACTCCCTTTTTTAAGACTCCCTCTATAAATACACACACACACACACACACACACACACACACACACACACAGAAATACTGCTAGGATGAACAGATAAACAATATCAACATTATGAAATTCAGTAACACTATTTTTCACATAATTGTAAAACAATAGATTATGGTACAAAAAGATAATTGTTCATTTTTCTTATTTAATAAAATATAATGATTGAAAAAAGTCTGTTTTTCTTTTGGGTATGTGAGTAATCCCATGTAATTAAGAACACCAGAAAAAATATCTCCAGATAATTAAACTAATAATGAAAAAAATGTAAGGATAGCAATAATAAACTAGAACTATCTTCAGATAATGTAAATTATAAACACAATTTGTGACTTTCATAAATCTGATCACGACACTAACAAAATTACAATGTTTCATAATAAATTTTAGGGAAGAAGTAAGTTAGTCTGCAAACTTATATAGAATTATTATTAAATAATGGGAGAATTCTGAATAATTATTTTATTGTTTTCAGTAGAAACACGTGATACAGCATTAACGTCTCTTGGAACCTACTTTTTTAAAATCTGTCAAATATAGGGCAGCTGGATGATTCAGTTCGTTAGAGCACATGCTCTGAACAACAAGGTTGCCAGTTCGATTTCTGCATGGGATGGTGGGCTGCGCCCCCTGCAACTAGATTGAAAATGGCAACTGGACTTGGAGTTGAGCTGCGCCCTCCACAACTAGATTGAAACAATGTATTTTTTTAATCTGTCAAATATTCTAAATAGTTTCTCTTATGTACCCACTGAAATCTTCAATACCTGAAATAGTAAACTGCTAACATTTTGAGTTTCAGATTTCTA